CCGTCCCATTTTTGCTCATTTCTCGGAGGCAAAATGAGCAAGAACGCTCATTTGTACATCATTCTAGACAGAAGTAAATGGCCTTTTTAGAAAGTAAACCATTGATAGGGAAATGTTGGCAGTTTTCTCAAAAAAGTTTCTCAAGAACGCATGTGCACATGTGGGTCGGCTTAAGAACGACTAGAAAATGGGCAAATAATTCTGCCAATGGGGTTCAAGTCGGGTCAGCCAGCAGGCGATTTATTTGACATTGTCAGTCGCAAAAAGCGTTTCCGCCCATCCGCCGATCCTGTGGCTAATTAAACGCAATCATTGTAGTCAACACAATTCGAATTACTTATTTGCCAACATGTTATTTACCGGGCCGTAAAAGAGACGCATTTTTTTGCTCGACTACAAGACAAAGATCCTCGGCCGCATACACGTATGGGGTTTATTAGATGCGCCACAACATGGGAAAATCGCATGCGGCCCAAACAATATAATTCTTCATCTACTAAATTGCCCGCCTCTGACAAAGCAATACATAATTACGAGATAACTACACGATACTTCAACAGTAATGTTGTCTGGATGGCGTTCGCGTCGGCTTTTGTTTGCTTTTACTTTGCTTCGTCTGTGCGACCGCCTGCAATATACCAATTATGACTTTTCATGCACTTTCATATTGATTGCAATTCGGTTATTGAATGACGTCTATCAGGGCGCTCAAAACAAGCCGACCCTAGACAAGGAAAGAGAGTCTCTCTAGTGGGAGGAAAGGAACAACTACACAATCGTTCATAAACAGAGCGACACCGAGTGCATATTGACGGGTCACCCTATCCAGGTGCGAAATTTCCACTGTTGCCCTTCAGGCAAGAAATTCCCCAGTTCCGTAACTGTTATAAACGAGCAAACAATGCCGTTTTCTAACATAGTTTACCGTTTTTTCGTGGCGTAGGCTGCAGCCCAAATTGGGAAGAACCCACGCCCACAAAATAGGCGGATTTGTCATTGTGCTGTTTTTTGTTTCTCGGTCACCCTTATTTGGTAAGTCGCGTGTGATTCATTGAAAGCGGCCAGGCCAGGACTCGTCCATGCAGCGGCCGATGCCGAGTGAACATCGCGTGAAAATAACGTCCGCTACAAATTGAAACAATGGACTCGACTTCCTTCTTATGTTACCATGCGGCGCGGTTACCATGTATTAATTAAGGGGATTAAAAATTGCCTGCTATTAAGGCGATACGGTTCGTGTATCGAGGAGGAGGTGTATAACCCGTTGTTTACTCATTGATTTACATGTGCACTTTACTGGAAAAGAAACCAGGTTCGCTTTGGATTTATGTAAGATTTGGTGGAGAAACGGTCGGCTCCCTAAGCGGTCGGGCCTCATTAAGCAAATCTGGAGCGTCACGTGCTAAAAACCGCCCCGCAAATTAGACCTCAAGTAAAGTAATACGAAACAATTAAACTTTCGGGAGAAACGCAAACTGGCCTCCCCCTTATCCATCGCTTGAACTGTGCGCTTTGTGCCTGCGGCGCGATTGGTTAATTGCCCAGAATTAACAGGAAATTAAGCCGGGCAGATTTGCATCAATTTTTGATATCAAAAAAGTTCTCTTCTACAATTTTTTGATGAAAAGGCACAGCGGAAATGATGTTTTATGTCATTAACAGATAGTTACAGGTGGATAGCCCTTGTCAATAATAACAATAATTTGCCAAACTGTGACTTACTTTGAATTTCCTTTCATGAATTTGCTGATATGCGATTAGTTCAGGGGAAATGCTACAGTAACATGGCAGAAGCTGAAAGAACTCACGCCAACAAAATTCCGAGGAAGGGCTATGTTCCTACCACGTTTGTACGATACACACAGCACAAGGAGATACAAATGGAACAGGAATTAATTAACTGAATACGAGAAGCTGCTCTTGATACGAGTGGATAATAAGGAAATTACACAGGCACTAGCTTGTTTGCAGTTAACCATTCAAATGTTTGGTGTTGTAGGGTTTATTTATAAACACCCATATTCGAGGTTATGAGAACAGGTTGACATTTCGTCAACAAATCTTGATGAATTTACCGTTTATCCTTGTCTATCTTACTGTCAGTCTGTATAATTCCATGGTTACCGGAGTTTTAAATAATTACGAATCAACAGGTATTTGCGCAATGTTAATTAGGCAGATTACCTTGAAAAACATTGCTGCCGTATTTCTGATATAGTTTTTTGCAAATTTCTCAGTTTTTAATAACAATTAATTTATTTTACTATTTTTTATTTACTTCTATAACAGCGCCAGACAACACCTCCAGAGGAATGACGCCAATTTTGAAACACCCTGTATAAGCGGCGTGGACTGGCCACCAAACAATGGCCCCTAAACAACGTCTGTCGCGAAAAATTCAAATTTAAACGCCCATTCAACTTAACCGC